GGTACTTCGACAAAATTTAAGCAAAGAGGACTCTTTATACTTTTTTAATTCTCTCTAGCTTTCAATGGACTTTGCCATCATCATCAGGAGCTGCAATTACAATGATGACAGTAGCAACAATAGTGTAAAATGAATTTAAATTGACTCAACTTACAGTAGTATGTGAGGATGTTGCTTATTGTTGTTTACGTATAGGATGAGGGAAACGTCCAGTAACATGGTGAGAGCTGGATAGATGGTACAATGGTCTAAATTATATAAAATATGACAAGAACAAGTTAAAAACAGATTAAAATGATTTAAAAAACATTAGAGCATTACATCGTGAAGCCACTTGATGATTGCACAAAATGGTGGTCATGGAATAGTGAGTGAGATGAAACCCTTTGACAGAAGGCCGAAGGTTGTCAATGTCTGTGTTGAAAGATGGAACGAATTGTGGGCGTGTGCCAAACGTTGCCAAATCACTTCAGATGATGTGATTTTCAGAATGTTATGTGAGAAATTGTTAAACCGACCAGAGGCAGTTGAATAAACTATATTTTAATTAATGGGAATTTAAATTAACAATTATTAATAAATCGTAAGAAGAGAATTATTATATTTTGAGTGGAATGAAAATTACTGGTGGAATCGGCCAAAACACAGATTGTATGGTTGTGAAGAGTCGAAATTTGGGGGAGATATGTAAATATATATATATATATATATATAATAACGTTACCAAAATTCAGTTTCAATACTTTGCTTTTATTTATTGATTAATTAATACTTTGATAGACAATAACTGTAGTTTGGATCATATTGAGAGTAGAAAAAACATTAACATGCCGCTTTATCTTATTGATCAAGATTTTTATACTGAAGCCGCCGCGCAGGCAGAAGCCTAAATGCCGGGACACTGCGGCTGCTATGATGATCCCAAAGAAATTTTGTTAAGGTTAGGAGAACTGGGAAAAGCTTCTTCTTGTAGATTGTTCCACAATCTCGACACCCTCGGGACAAATTAGCGGTCGTATCGGCCAGTTCTGGATGTACAAACTTCAACACGGTTAGGATGGGAGGCCAAAGTAAGGCGGGTCCGTCTGGCAGGTACATCGCGCGGCGGCATCGTGGAAGAGAGCTCTGAGGAGCAAAGCCCGTTGGTGTAGCCGTAGAAAAGAGCTAGATCGCCGATGGCCCGCCGGTGCGAAAGGGTCCGAGACTGTCTAATGGAGAAGAGTCATCGATCAGGACAGCATCGAGCATAAATCGTGTAGTCGGGGCGGCAGCACCCCAAACGGCTCAGCAATACTCGAGGCTAGAAGTTAAATTCTAGTGAAAACTGCCGTCAGTTAATATCAAACTTGAATAAACTGAAAACAAAAATTGAGCATCACCATATTGCTAGTTACTGAGGTAAACTTTGGTACAAGAACAACACGGGTTAACTTAAAACAAAAATAAAAAACTATTCTTTGTCTTATAAAACTGATACTTCTTCTCCAGACTTAAAATCAAACATGAGCATCTCATGGCTAAATAAGGTAAAACTTTTGGTGCAAGAACAACACGAGTTATCTTAAAATAGAAATGAGGAAATATTCTTTTTCTTATAAAAATGATACTCTTTTCAGAATAAAAACGAAAAATGAGCATCTCCTTATAGCTAATTAATAAGGTAAACTTTGGTACAATAAAAACACGAGTTACCTTAAACTTAAAAATAAAGAAGTAATATTTTTGTTATAAAAGTAATACTCTTTCTAGAGTAAAAATTAAAATATAGCATCTCCTTATGGCTAAAATTAATAAGGTCAACTTTGGTATTTTAAAACAAAAATAAAGAACTTCTTTGCCTTATAAAATATAAAATTTTCCATTGAATAAAAACAAAAAATTAACACCGTCCAAATATATATTTAGAATTATTTTTTTAAATATTTATCACTGGATTTTGCCATTTTTATTAGCATCTCTCCGGCAAGCCTTTGCAAAACAAAATTTGCACTTGGTAGCAGTGCGTTACGTGTAGTAGCTGCAACTCCAGTAATTTTGTGAAAAAACTAGTAGGTGATCGAAATCCGGGATAGTTATGTTTCGTTACTGGACACGGAACAAGACGCATAATTCTGGGACACTCGGATTTCCCGGCCTCCTGGCAAGCCTATTTTCCACTCCAAGAATGTTTATTGTGCAGATTGACTCTCCTCTCACTATTAAAGGTGGCTTCATCGGTTCAAAAAATTTAAAATAAAAATTCTCTCAATAGTCCAACCTCTGATCAAAGTCTTCCTCTTACAAGGTCTGATGCAAAACGACATGATATGGGTGTATTCTGGATGTAATTAAAAAAAGTTAAATAGAAATAAATCCTAATGATGTTGTGCTAACATGATGATTTCCTTCAATATATCCCAGTACGCGGTTAATATTTTCTTGGGTTCTTTTAATTCTTTGCGGTTGAAACGGAGGTCGACAACTACCTTTGGCTCGTAAGCTCGCCACTATTCGGAGGAAAACTCTCACATCGCAAAGGCGCCGATTTGGATATCAAGTCGCGTGTAAACTCATTTTGCTGCTGCAACAATCTGAAGGCATTCAAAATAAACTGCAAGCATATCAATAGCTTTGTCGTTCGTAAAACGCGTTTGGTAAGCACAGAAATTACTCAAAGTGACGCGAAACTATTGTCAACTATTGACAGTTTGAGGATTATTTATGTTTTGATTAGGTATTTGTTTTGTTGTATTCCATGGTCTGCTTCTATTGAGTGAACATGCATGTAATCAAAAAATATACCTTTTGTTATTAGCATTTCTTACTTGTTAGCGATATTTTGTAATATTTTCAAAAGAGGTGATTTTATTCTTATAAATTAAAAGAATTCCAGAAAAATTAGTTAAAAAAAATAAGAATTTAAGAGATTTCCGTATAAAATGTTCTTTGGTCTAAATCTTATGTTAGGAACAAGATATCGAATGTGGTTTTCGCGAGCTTAGCTACTTTTTCATAGCAATGCATTTAATTTTTTGACAAAATAAAGCATTTCTCGAGGAATATCGAAAAAAGCCCTTAGCGGCCTCATGTGAAACTAACAAAACATCAAATACCATAACATTTGTAGCCCAAGAACAGCTCTGTTCAAGTTTGTTACAATCAGCTCAGTCGTTTCGAAGATACAGGGTGTTTTTTACGGAAACCTTTGGATACCCCCCACCAGTTTATTTGGAGAAATACAAAAGTTGTCAAATAAAAAAGTTTACATTAAAGATCAGATATTTTTTGTTAGGTTAACATAGCAGAACTCACAGAAACATCGCTCACTTTAGCGGCCATTTCAGAAGCTTGAATATACTTGTCAGATTTTTCTCTGGCCGTTTTAGGCCCGTATCGTCGTTCCTACAATTGTAGGGCGCCTTTATGGCCTCCTTGATTGTCATAGTTTTTTACTTTTCCGTGTCAGCGCTCTATTTTGAGGTCGCAAATATCTATTTACATCAAATTGTGCTTGCTTTTGAGTTATATCATGTTTTGTCAGCCTGAAATTCCCTACAATTTAAAAAGAAAACATATCTAGAAATTTTTGAAGGAGAGAAAGGAGTATGACAATCAAAGAGGCCATAAACGCGCCCTACAATTGTAGAAACGGCCCTTAGTCAGAACTTTTTTGGCCGCATGCCTCTGCGATGGATAGGTTCTCAGATACAGTGAACCGTATTCATAAAACAAAGGATATCCTTGTACTTGCAAATCCTCCAGATGGTATTTATAATAACTTGAAGTAAATGCTTTTGCTTTTTGAGTATAAGCATATCCTTCAAAGCAGTGACATAAGTAAAAGAATATTCATAATCTTCACCTGATACTTGGCATAGGAAGCATATCATTTAAAAATTCGTAACGAAAGGTGATCAAACGATGATGGCGGAAATTGTGGGTGTTAGGGATGTTAAAACGTTCAAACCTAGTGTACCTTCACTTGGTCGTAACTTAAAAAAATTTGACGAAGCAAATGTACAGTGGCTTGCGGACAGATTTTTAGTTGAGATTGAGGAAACTCGAGGAGGAGCACTTTCATGTATTCATGAAATGAAGATATGTCTACGCTATCTCGGTGACCCTGGATATCAACAATTTATTGGTCAGGAACTTGGTGTTGGTCAAGCAACGGTGTCTCGGACTGTGGATAATAATAATAATTTAGTAGTCCTGTATGATCACAGATGTGATATAGGATAAGTCAGTCAGAGCACTACAAAAGCTAATAACAAATCATGTTAGTGTGGACGCACACATATTCATACCACATATGGCATATTCCAAATATGGATACAGATAAATCAAATTAGCTTATTGGTAAAATTTATAAATATAAAACATTTATGTATATATAAAAAAGCGAAATAAAGTACAAACCATTAAGTGACATTCAAACAACAATGATCAAAATCAAACAAGACATACACACATTAGAAATTCCTCAATAGAGCAAAAAGCTTTCTCCAGTAAAAACTGTTTGACTGTTCTTTTAAAAGTGTTCAGTGGTTGTGATTTCAAACTGTTGGGGAGTCTGTTGAAAAACTTAATAGCCATGTATCTAGGGCTCTCCTCCGTTCTCGCCAATCTATGCGACGGCACCTCCAATACTTGACTGTTCCTTGTAAAGTTAGCACCAGTGCTTACAGAATTGAACTTGCTCAATTGTGTTTTAGCAAGGATAAGTATATTGAGTATATATACAGATGGTAAGGTTAAAATATTTAATGTTCTAAATGAATCCTTGCAGCTAGTGAGCCTTCCAATTTTAGCTTTTTTTGCAACACAAAAAGTCTTTGCAGCTGGGACGATGCTCCCCATGCTTCTATTCCATACATTAGGACTGAATGGATATGTGCATGGTAAAATATCAGTAATATCCACTTCTCCACAACAAAACTTAACTGGTACAGACAGTTGTGAACAGCATAGTTGCACAGTCGAACGAATGGATCAAGTTTCCAACTACCAACCATGAACTGATGGAGGCCAATCGGATATGGCATAGCATGTATAAATTTCCGGCAGCAATTGGAGTAATTGATTGTACACATATAGGAATCCTGAAACCAAATCGCCATGGAGATGAGTATATCAACCGAAAAGGGAAACCTACTTTAAATCTGCAAACCACTTGTGATGCCAAAGAGGTGTTCACAAGTGTTGATGTCAGTTGGCCTGGATCAGTGCATGATTCCAGAATATGGAGAAATTCACAGAATAGATCACAACTAACAAATAAAGCAAATGTACTACCTGGCCATGACGGTTATGGTATTGAGCCATGCCTTATGACTCCCTTCAGAAATCCTACTCCTGGTGCAGAAATAAATTATAAGCTTTTAAAACAAGAAAGAGTGATAATTTAACACTGTGCCGGCCAACTGAAACGCTGGTTTCGTATCCTACAGTATGTTTGCCGCGTAAAGTTGGAACATGTGCCGAAAATGCTTGTTATTGTACTCCATAATGTTGCGAAGAGCTTGGGCGATCCTGACTTTGATCTAGTTGAACAAGACCCAGATGAAGAAGAAGGAAATCATGAAAATGACGAACTTCCTCTCCGCCGAGTTGGTCAACAAATAAGAAGAAACTTGAGAATTATAATAAATAGTTTTACTCATTAAAGTGTATTTATAAGTTATAATAAGTTTTATTTTCGTGAACATCGTAAGTTACAGGTGGCTTCTGATGTTGCATCATTTCTATTTTCGTTTTATAATATTCTTGTTGTAGAATACTTGTTTGGTACTGCTGAAATAGCACTAGACGTTGCAGTTCTTTTGTAGTTAACCCGTTGGTTTCCTCAGTTTCGTATTTCTCTGTTGCTAATTTTCTTTTTGGCGGCAATGTCATCTGAATTGCTGGCGCTGTTTGCGCTCTGCGCTCGGTATATAGTTCACTTCCTTCTTCTTGAACACTACCAACCTGAATGGCACCTCTAATTTTCCCAATTGTAGGATTACAGTCACCTTCCATAACTTTCAGCAACTTTCTTTCCCAATCTAACAATTAAATTGCTTTATTACCAGTTTTTTTTTAGATCTGTTTTTTCTTCAATCTTGATTTATTGTTGTTGATTTTTTTTAATAAGCCTTTACAGTATATTCAGATAAGAGATAGACCGGATGTAAACAAAAGGTTCGGGTGATTTTCACGCTAACGCCGCCGTCTCGACGTAAAACAGGAGCCCTCATTGGTCAATTCGCAATTAAATGCCTATGCCGAGCGGCAGAGCAGTCGTATCAAGGCAGAGTCACATTCAGGTTCAGACGTGTTACGTATGTCGTGTGCATCATTGCAATTTGATATTTCTTTGGACGTTTTCGTTTGTTATCTTATTAAGTTGTTGAGTTTGTCGTTGTTATTGTTATACCTTGTTATTGATTGTTATTGTTATCAACTGCTTGCGCAAAATGCCCAGTAGTACAGATACTGCCGATGAAGTTGTAAACTCCTGTAGTCCACCTAGGAAACGCTCTAAAAAAAGACACCTGAGTGCAGAAATGAAAGAGGTCATTTCGAATATATATAAGATCAAGTGCGAGGAGAACGAGGCATCAACCATCAAAGAAATTGTTGTGAAGGTTTCTCACAAAGTTGGGGTGTGTCGCGCATCAGTGTTTAACGTGTTAAGACAATACAAAAAAAATCACACCTTTTCTGAGCCAATGACCAGTAAACATCGCAAAAGTATTGTTAAATCATTGGATGAAGCTGATAAGCATGCGATTAGGAGGAAAGTGCATGAATTCTTCTTTAGGAATGAAATACCTACTATAGATAAAGTACTGCAGGAGGTAAATGGAGATACAACGTTGCCAAATTTCAAACGATCAACTTTCCATGCGTTACTGAAGCATTTAAATTTCAAATGGAAAAAACGGGGTCGTAATAGTTTACTACTGGATAGAGAAGAAATTGTGCTCTGGAGGAGGGATTATTTAACAAAAATTGGGAAATATAGAAATCAAAACAGGAAGATTTATTACCTTGATGAAACGTGGGTAAACGCAGGACACACTACAAGTAAAGTATGGGTTGATGATTCTGTAACTTCATCCAGGAGGGCCTTTCTAGATGGACTGTCCACCGGATTAAAAAATCCAGCAGGTAAATACGAGTAATAGACAACAATCGGATGTTTTTCAAACCTTGGGAACAAGGTTCTAAACATTAATTCCAGGGGGCAGATAAAACATATTACAAGTAACAATTTTTTAATATAATCTTAAAATATGTCGAATATTATAAACTTAAAAAAAGTTACTAAGTTTTATATTGTGTACCGTTCCTAATATTTCTAATCATTTTAATTCATACTTTAAGCTTTATAAAATTATAATTTGTTAATATTAATATTTGCGCGTATTTCAGGTTCCTGATCATTCATTTTTTAAAGGTTTATAACTTTAAATTAAATTGTGAAGCGCTGAGTAATCATACGACGTTCAATATTCTTTCTTTCAATATGACTAAATAATCCCAATTATAGCAATCTGATACTCATGTCTCAATGTTTTTTCGCTAAATGTGATGAAAACATTTGAAAAAGGTTCGCTTATTGAAATAAATGTACACCAGTTAGTACTTCGATTTCCAGTTAAAGGGAAAAGGCTCATTATCTGCCATATTGGCCGTGAGGATGGATTTGTTGTTGACGGTCTGTGGTGCTTTGAGTCTAAGAAAACTGGACATTACCACGAGGAAATGAATGGCGAATCGTTTGAACAGTGGTTTTCAAAAATTTTACCGAACTTAGGGGAAAACGCAGTAATTGTGTTGGATAATGCGCCTTATCATTCTCGAAGAATGGAGAAGGTCCCAACAACGCCTTCAAGGAAAGTTGATGTTCAAAATTGGCTCCGCTCGAAAAATATCAACTTTGAAGAAGCAATGCTGAAAGTACAATTATTAAGAATTGTCAAGGATCACAAGGCGGAATATCAAAAATACGCCATTGACGAAATGGCAGCAAGTCAAAATAAAACTGTGCTCCGTTTACCTCCATACCATTGCGAGCTCAATCCCATTGAGCTCATATGGGCAGAGGTTAAAAATTATATAGCTAAGCACAATACAACTTTTAAATTTTGTGACCTCAAAGGACTTTTCAAAGAAGCACTAGAATTAATAACAGCGCAAAAATGGGAAAACTGTATTAAGCACGTGAAAGACAAAGTTGAAAAGAGAATGTGGGAACTGGACATTATTTTAGAGGAACAAGTCGAGCCATTCATTATTGACGTTGGTGCTTCAGGCAGTAGCGATGATGAAAGCTCATCAAGCTCATCTTTCCAATAAAAGATGTCGTTCATCAAATTCGGTAAGTTATAAGTAATTATAAAGCTACTGTATTTTTTAATTAATTATTGACATTTTTGAACCCATTTTGGCAAAACCTATTCAAGAATCTACTTTCTGACAATGTTCAGCCATGCACATTTTTTTACGTTTTGAACGTTTTAATTTGGTTACATATTTACCTAGAAATCAAAAAATATACTAATCAATATTCTAAAACCAATTTTAAGAGATATACGATTATTTTTAATTTAGGCTAATTTAAACGCCATTTTGAGATTATATTCGACTGTATTTCACCAAACATCAGGCGGCATCCGAAGCTGGAAATCGAAGCGAAAATTTTGAAACCCTTATGCATATTTACATCATTATATATTTCTTACCCCACCCCCACATGATCCTATATCCATCACCAATCGTATACACATCGAATTGTGCTAATTTACTACAAAGTTACGCAAAGCAGCATCTACTATCTAAAATATGTACTGCGTGACTCTTAATACGTCCCTGCCGAATGTTACAGCGTTCGATGATCACGTGGTCTTGTTTATATCCGGTCTATCTCTTATCTGAATATACTGTAGTATCTAATGGTTTACCGAATGTTGATTCGGATTTTTTCAACATCTACTTCAAGGCATCGCCCTTTCTCATGTTTATTTTTGGAACTTTTGCAAAATAATGGGAACAATGGCAATTTATGGCATTATTTTCTACAGTTTCCTCATCACTTGAGGATGACATGCTTATTATTTGATAAAAAACTGTATCCAGTAAAAATACGGAACGGTCTGTGTAAGCTCTGGAGTACAACTGTCAGTGATGCTGAGTGAACGAACTCCCACGTCAACTACAAGCTGGAACAAGTCAGGTCGTGTCGCTCAAGATACAAATACCAGTCAACCTTTTGCTTCTTCTTGGAGGATATCCTTGCGAGTATAAGGTAATCATTATGAATATGAAAACAAGGATATGCTTATATACGTACTTCTACCTTTTTCTCCGAAGCAAGACCTTATACTTTTACCTTATGCTTCCGAGGATATGCTTCTCTTTTATGAATACGGCTCGATACCTCGTATTCTTACTTGGCCATCCTGAACAACGACCGAGGTAGAATCTAAATCACAAAGCCTGAACAAAGCTTTTGATATAATTTTATATCTACAGATTTCAAGCCTCTTTAAAAGATCAGCTCGGAGCTCATATGCATTTCATCGAAATTTACGTCCGAAAAAAGTCGGCCCATACGACAGGTCATTATCATAGGTACATTTTTATTACAGGACTTAAATACCGTGAAATTTGTTTGTTGGCATAACAAAAGATGCTGGATAGCTTTTTGTACGGTACACGGAGGGAATGTAGGTAGATTAAAAAAAAATTATATTACGTCCATTCTACTTGTAAAACAAATACCTGACGATCACCTTGACTTTTTTCTTGTATGAGTAATGGCTTACGTGAATATCGTATGATGTACTGTTGCCTCAGTCAAAATAGAATAGTTGAAATTGGAAGTCTTTTAATAGTGTATAATAAAGAGTACGTCTAAATCACGAGAAAGTGCTGATAAGTTTCAGTCCAGTAGTGGTCAAATACTCAATTGAATTCAATTCAATGGACTTTATTGTAAAACATACATAATTATGTATCCTTACAAATGGCGAAGTGTGGCCAATGGCCATTTATACTTAGCCATAAATGTCATGTCAATGCTTATTACTACCTTTAAAATAAAATAAAAAACTGAAAAAGAAAAGGAAAAAGAAGAATAATAGTAAAAGAAGAATTAATAAATATGACATAATGCGTACGATTAGAACAAAAAATATAATACGTACGATTCAAAGAGAAGACAATAACCTAAGAGCTCAGTAAGTAGTTCTTATATGTTTTTTTAGAAAAGTTGCTGATGAAACATTGTTCGAAAGAGTTGATCAATTTCACCACATTATACGTAAAAGACCGTTGAAAAATGGCTGTCCTATGTTGTGGCATTGTCAGGAGATTAATGTTGGGCGTATTCAAATTGTGAATTAAATTCCTACGAACAAGC